TACATGTACAAACGGTAATGATTTAATGCTATCCTGCATCACATCTAATTTACTAATTCAAAATATCGAATTTTACAAATTCATTCACATACAAGCTCACACACACATACACACGCACGCACACACACGCACGCACGCACACACACTTATACATGTACACGTGTGCGTGTATATGTGAGTGTGTGTCCTGTATGCACATCAATGTATACACACCGATGTATACACACGCACACACGCACAAACACGAACATTAAGATAGCGAACCATCGGAGCATGGAGCAATAAAGAAGTGAATGCACCGGTTACATCCACTTGATTTCCATTCAGCTCATCTCTACAAGAATAAATCTGCATTTAGATTTAAACACACGACACACACACACAAACATAAACTCACTCACACCCACACACAACACGCAGGCACGCACACATACACAGACGTGCAAAAACATTCAGAATGAAGGACAAATAGACACACTCGTGCAGCAGATAAATGCACACGCATCATAGAATCACACTCACACACACATTTAAACACCCACACGTTTCACACACCCATAAACACACACACGTAACACACACACACACACACAAATATATTGTCTTCCTCATTTCGCGTGCTGGATGAGAGTGGTCTGAAGGGGACATTATCTGCCTATTTGCATTATTTAGTCCATTCTTTCAGGACTCTTTAAACATTTAGTCAGTCTTTGTTAGACAGGAATGACCTGGCTAAATTTACTTTTTGGCGGTCATGGTAGTTAGTTAGCTAGTGTGGGTTGGGGTTTATTTTTTCTAAAAAAATTTTTTGTTATATCTGTACTCGAGATGTGTTTTTACAAATATGTGCTACGTGCGAGTGTGTGTGTGTGTGTGTGATAGTTCTGTTTTGGGTTGGTTCTTTGTGTGTGTGTGTGCTTGTGTGTTGTAATGTGTGTATGCGTGTGTGTTCAGTATACGTACGTGTTACTCTCTGAAGTAATAATATTTAATTGACGAATCAGCATTGAGCGATACAATTTTTAAATGTATGAAAATAAAATCATCCATAAAAGTGTTAAATGTTATAAATTGGAAAAGTTGCTAAAAAATTTCAGATAAGATACAAACATACAATTATGTTGTAAAACAAACAAACAAACAGACAAACTATCAAACAAACCAACCAACAACCAAACATAAAAACAAACAAACAAACCAACAAACATACCAACAACCAAACCAAAAAGCAAACAAACAAACGGACGCAATGAAAATTAAAGAGTAAAATTACCGTCTCAGTTGCTTGTCGGCAGATGTAAATCACAAACAAGTCTTAACCTTATTTACAACTTTTAAAAAAATTACTCTGAAAAAATTTTTACCAACAACCTACAAAAACAACAAAAACAAATTCCAAACACGGAGCGAATGCTCTATTAATACAAATGTTTGAAAAACTTTTAGAGAGAAAAATTTGAACAAAAACTTCTTTGAAAAAAAAAACAGGTTTAAAATTTACAAACAAACTTTGCGAGATTCCCAAACTATAAAATCACATCTTGCGTCGCTGGAGGGTTTATATACACACACACACACACGCACGCACACACACACACACGCACGCACACACGCACACGCACAAAAGTCGACGTTTTAACCTCATAGGCTTATATAACGAGATGCGTGCAATACAGCCTGCTAGACAGAAGTACAAGATGCACTATTGAGAGATGAAATTCGAAGCAGGGAGTAGTTACCAACAGAGCACTTGCTTATTACAACCGAACAAATCATTATTTTATATAAAAAGCCAAATTGTGATTATACACATAGTCTATACTTTCTATGCATTTTGTTTGGGGTATAATTTTCTCCCATCATATTTAAACCCAGGCTGACGTCATCATTTGGTATTGAGATGGAGTAAGGGGTAAAGGCGCATGATCTGTCGTCGTTTCATCACAGTGACCGCCTTTGATCGCAAGGTGATCCCCTCTTGCCACTTGGCAATATATATATGGTTTTATACTAGTTATAATAATATTATATAGTTTTTTTTATTTGCTTATAATATCAATAATAACCATAATAACGAAATTAAAAATATTCATACGATAGATGTTATTACGATTTCTTGTGCGTGGTTGTTCTAATGTACTATTTAGAAAAAGCATTCAACCATTCAACAGCAGAAATATACTTTATACAGTCATCTATCATTTTGAAATATTCAGTTGATACATTATTCTATTGAGATATATATCATAGGTGGGGAGTATATAGTATATCTAATGAAATGAGTCTTGCTATTGTGAAGATATTTTCTAATCATATATATAAAATATAACAATATATATATATATATATATATATATATATATAACATATATAACATTTATATAGGTCTAATACTCCAAAATATAGATAGCTAGCCATCTCCAAAAATTACTTATTTAAACCTAAATTAACTTTTATACTAACATTGCGAAATGGAGGTGAAATAGGTGTGCTATGATTTGCTAGATTTAATTAGGAAATTGATCGTGAAAACATTTAAAGATTAAATTTTTATAAAAATTTACAATTTTTCTTCACAAGTTATTTTAGTTATAAATGAATCTTTATGTTAAAGTTTAGTATAACAAATACAAAATAATTAGTAAATTAGTGATTAGTTAGTGAATCTAATTCTAATACTAGGCAATATTGATATTGACTGCCATTTGCCATCTGGTTTGCCGGTTTTTTTTCTTGAGTTGAGGTCATCCATCAATCATCGATCAACCACCGATACAAAAAAAAGAGACGATTTTGCTTGCCTGGGTAAAGTTTCTAATTTTTTGCTATTAATAATAAATAATGTGATATTTAATAATTTTATAGTATATTGAAGTAATTTATTACACAGTTGAAATTTATTTAGTATTATTTTATTCTGCCATGATTGAACAAAGACCTAGCTGTGTCCATGATTCACTTAATGTTAATGATATTGTGACATAAAATTTTTAGTTAAAAATTTATAGTTCCTTCCTGCTACTAAAACCTTCATTTCATATCCTGACATTTTTTATCAAGTTAGAGATGTTCTCGAAACTTAATTCTAAATTCAGGACTCCCCACTCAAAAGTTAATGCATCATGGTTTGTACTTTATTATATTTATATTTTTTGTTATCTTTTTCTATTGAATCCTCTTTTAAATAAATCTTTCACTATTGTAATAAATTGCTGTTTAAAAATTTCAATATATTTTCAATTAATACCTGTTGTTAACAACTTAATTAATTAAATTTAATTATAATTTTCATTAAATTGTGTAATTTATTTATGAAAATTTTTGTCAACTCCCTAATAGATGTTACATTGAATTAGTCCAATAGGTCTGTAACCTTACATTGCAGGGCTGTGATATTTTCAGTCGGCTTGATGTCATTCATAATGGCAAAGAGATCAGTTGATAAGAACAGACTGGAAAACATGAGAACAAGAAGGCAGTATGAACTTGCTAGATTGCAAGAAGCTGAAGAGAAACTTAAACTAACAAACAAACAAACGAATGAATGAATGAGAGAATGTATGAACAGAGAACGACTAAATAAATGAATTAATGAATGAATGAACAGAGAATGAACAATTAAATGATGAACAAACGAACAAAGGAATGAACAAACAAAAGAATTAAATATATATTCGACAAAAGTACAGCTTTTTTGAGATTTTTATTCAATACTATTTCGGTTACCTCCAAATCAAACTTAAAATTAAGTAAAATAAAGAATAACCATCATTACTTTTTTAAAAATTTACACTGGAAAAATTGTTAGTTTTGTCATGTTGATTAACTAATTATAATAATTAATATAAATAAATGAATGGATAATTAATTAAGAGAGAGAGAGAAAGGGAGAGGAAGAGAGAGAGATTTTCAATCAAAATATTGTTACCCTACTAAAATAGTTTTTACAAAACGTAACTAATTTTATACATAATTGTTCAAAATAATTGAATAAACTGATTGCTGATAGGATTGATTGAAGGAATAAATAAATGAATGAATGAATAAATATGTTAATAAATAAATATATACATAGATATATATATATATATACGTTCATATATAAATTATCTATACAAATTAATTCATCTAAATATAATACGTAAGATTGATGTTTTTAAATAAGTTATTTAAAAGAATAAGGTTAATTAATTTATTAAATAATTTATTTATTTGTTTGTTTGTTATTGTTTTTTATTGCACAAAATATGGAGAATTAATTGCAGAATGAATGGATAACTTAGAGCTAGCCAGTTTTGATAAAAACAACATCAATCATTGCGATATAATTTTTAATAAATTCAAGTTTATTACATTTAAAAATATTTTAAATATCAATAAGAAATTCTCTCTTCAAAATGCATTTAATTTAATTAAGCCTTTAGTATGCGTAATACGTAAAAAAGTCTTGAAAAAACAAAATGGTACATTAAGCCCTAACAAAAATCGGGTGTTTTTCGCAAATGGTATGAGGTTTATGTCATTTCTGAATGAAATTTTGCTAAATTTACATAAAATATCTATCTTATATTCACAATTAAGTAAATATTATGTAAATATATAGTGTGTAAAATATAAATAATGCTCTTTTCAAAATATATTGCTTTATTCTTTAATTAGTTAATTAATTGAATGAATGATTGATCGATTGGTTAATTGATTGAATGAATGATTGATTGATTGAATGATTGATCGATTGATTTAAACAATAAAATCTCAAAAAAAAGAAAATCTCTTTAAATACTCCAAATTGCAACAGTCTTCGTCAAGTAATGTAGTCATGTATTGCAAGACTTTTATAATATCAAGTTGCCAACGGAACGGTTGAATACAAGGCTTGAGTGAATTTATGAAAATGAATAACATCTTTAAAAGCATGAAAACGATCTGATAATATGATGACGATGATAACAATGATGGTGATAAAGAAATGATGATAAGGCATTCCGTGTGTCTGAATATCACAAGTTAAATGTAGATTTCCACAAGCCAGATCTCTTTAATTGCATGCTGCTATTGTCATTTCTCTTTCCACTGATCACTCCTTCGTGTTCACTGCTGAAAAATAATTTCATATCGTTGGTAAAAATTTGATTGGGTGTCCTAGGCGGTTTTGTCCTGCTGTTCAAGGCGGTTTGCCAATTCACTACTTGAAATGATTGGTTATTGTTGTAGTTGTTGTAGCTTGTGTTGTTGTTGTTGTTTAATTTGTTGTTGTTGTTTAGGCTGTTGTTTATGTTGACGAACGTCGGAGTTGCCCTGTGGTCTTCAACGTAATGACTGATTTGAGATATCCGTGAGTTCGGTTCCGGATGTAAAACTTTGGCTGGTGGTTGCCGTTGTAATTGCGGATGATATTGTTGAAGTTGCGACTGGTTGCGATACTGTACGCTGCAATCGTCCACAGGAATATCGTCATGGTAGGTGATGTAATCAGTGTCAAAGGAGCCAAGTTGAATTGATGTCCTGAAGAATTTCTTACGTGCACCTCCTTCCATGTTTTTCATCACAACTCCTCCCACTCCATTCCCATTATCCTGGTTTCTGAATGATGCCTGATCCGGGCGACTTGCAGACTGGCGTTCCATGAATGATGGATCTGAATTCACAAATCTCCCGTTTAGTTGTCTGTTTCCAGAAAGTACCAGAGCCTTTCTGTCGACTTGTTTTTGAAACGAGTCGTTTCTGTCAGCAGCATGGCTAGGTGCAAGTTTGCTTTGAGGTAACTTTAGTTCGTTTAATGATTTGGTAGGCGTGCCAGTGTCAATTTCCACTATATATGGAGATTTTGCTCTTCTACCCAAGTTGAGTGTGTTATAGGAATTGTCATTGATGTTGTAAAAGTTGTTGATGCGGTTGTAGTTGATGTCACTGGAGACTGAAGAACAACGAGCGTCGTCATCCGTCATCATGCTGTTTATGTTGATGCTGCTTATATATTTGTTAATTTTGTCTCGGTTACCAATGTTTCGGTTGCCGTATATGCTACTGATGTTTCTGTTGCTGTTTGTGTTGTTGTCACTGTTGATGGCGTTGTTGGTGATGTTGATGTTGTTGTTGTTGCTGTTGAGGATGTTGTTAATGTTATCAATATGCATGCTGGTGTGATATCTGCCCGGTTGAACTTTATCATTTCTGTTCGCTGCTACTGTGCCTGGATTTGATGACACGCTCTTCACGAGGCGATGATGTGATGATTCTATTAGCGAAAGAAGTGATTGTCTTTGTTGATTACGCTGTTGTTGTGGTTGTTGATTGTGTTGTTGCTGATGTAATTGGTGTTGTTGCTGATTATGTTGTTGTTGACTGAACTGAAGTTGCTTCAGTTGTCGGAGGTTTTTACATTTAAATGAGTCACCACTGGAGTGTACAGCTTGTAATGATGATGACGAGGCCTGAGATGGTAGAGGAACATTCGCAGAAGATGAGACCAAGCAACTGCCACCAGAGTTTTGTGAAACATCCAAACGCTCCACTTGTTGCCTCTGCAACTTTTGATGAGATGAATTTGGAGTCAGTGGGCGAAGTTTTGCGGGTGTTTGTGGTTCTTCTTCTGCTTCTGGTTGATGATTTTGCGGTTGGCGATGAATTGGTTGCTCTTGGTAAAGTTGTTGATTAGTTGTTGGAGACAATTTACGAATTCCATTTGCTCGCAATTCCAGAAGTTTAAGTTCTATTTTAGGGGATGGTTTTTGTTGAATTGGTTCTCCCTGAGGTGAATGTTTATTTTTTTGTTGTTGAGGTAGCGGTTCAAGTGTTTGATTTGGCTGAAATTTAAATTTACTGTTGGCGTTTTCATCGTAACTTTTAATTTTCTCAGCAGGAAATAAAATTTTATCAAAAATTATTTTTGATTCTGTCATATTTCTAAAAAGTTTTGTATCAGTAGGTGTTGAGTTGGCAGGTTCACTGTAAAAAAATCTTTCTATTTCGTCGAATTTATCTTCTATGCTGACCTCAGTATCTGCACTGTTGCACTCAACGATGGACGTGTTTCGAGAGAGAGAAACGCCAGTTAGGAAAGATGACGACTTGGTCATCGTGTTGTCGCTATCGGTATCTTTAGCCGTGTCGTACTTAGTGATTGCACTACTATCTGATTTCTTCTCTGAAGTAAGTTGACTACCTCTTCTGTCACTTATGTCCGCTGATTTTTTTTCTCCACCATGTAAATCATTTAGATCTTTTTCCACCAGGAAATATTCGTCATCGTCAATATCAATCATTCCGTCTGACAATTTGCTGTCATCATCAGTCACCTCTTTCACGTTTGATTCGTCAACAACACTCTTCGTCTTACTATTGGAGTTCAAATAGAAAGATTTAATCCTGGGCACATCTAGATCATTTTCTTCCGAAGTTTCCGATTCACATCGCAATATCTGCACTTCATCATCTTCTTCTTTTGTTCTGTTGAGATCGTCAGACGCTTGCACAACAGCATCGTTCAGACTTTTTTCTTTCTTAAAAATTGGAGATTCTATCAACTTCCTGTCAGATTCGTCAGTCGATCCGCTAATTCCTGAATCCGGACTGATTGTTTTCTTCAGCTGGCTCACTCCTCTGGTGTCCAAGTTGTCGAGAGAGGAGGCCCGGATGTTGTTGGAGAAGTTTGATGGTGTTGGAGGAAGCAGGTACTTCGAGTCGAGTTGCTCGCAGGAGTTAGATCTTGTTAGTTTTTCTGGAAAAGTTTTAAAAATATTTTGAAATACAAACATGTTTGAAAAAAGTGAAAAAATGGAAAAAACAAAAATTCACGAAAAAAAATCTCACTTCCGAAATCCTCTAACTCTTTCAGGTTCAGGAATGAGGTATTAATCCTGGGCATAGGAGTGCAGAATCCCTCCTGGCTATCCTCGCCACACACTTCCGTCAATCCATGCAAATGCCCAGTGACCTCCTCAAACAACTCGATGCATTCCTTCCTGCCTAGGACCTCCACTGCGCTGTCAATCAGCCACTCAACAACGTTATTGGCCTGTTGAATCGTCTTTGCCTCGACGCTCAATCCCACGGAGTTCGACGGGCGAAGGATGGACGGACTGAGACAGACGGATAAGTTTCGTGACGTCATGAGATTGATTTGAGAGTTGACGTTGATTTTGTGCAGAACGCACATGAGGTAGTTGAGCAGGGTGAGGTGAGAGGGAGGGAGTTCTGATATCAATCTGGTGTGCGACGAAGTTATTTAAACGGTTGTATAAAAAAAAAGTATTGTTGCTTTGGTAATCGTTAGTCTCATGTTCAGTAAGATATATAAGTACAAATTTTATTAACTTTTTTTAATTAATAAATTTAATGGGATAAACAATTTATGTTCATAAAAGTGAAGGGCAATGGTGCGATCCAACCTCTTCGTTTTTGAAATCTTTTCATCTCTATCATTCACGCAAGCAAGTTCAAGCCATCTAAAATAATTTGCCGAAACTAAGAGGCATTCCGGCATCCGTATCAACCAGCACTGTGAATTTTAATTGATCAATCAGTCAATCATTTAACAAATCAATCAATCAATAAATCAATCAATTATTAAACTACCAACCAATCAATCAATCATTTAATTAATTGATATTAATTAACCATTCAAAAAAATATTCAATCAATTTATTTTTATCTTACACCAACAAATGAAGCACCTTGAAAAGAGCGGCTGTCATGTGAACAGGCATATTTTTAACGACGTCGCTATCCGCATTGATAGCATTAGAGGCCTCTTCTTTCAGATCATTCTTTGTCAGTTTGGTGTCCAGCGAGCTGATCATCGTCTGAAGCTCCTTGTAGTTGTAACACACTCTGAAAATTCCTTCCGTCAGCGGACCAATTTTGTACAGGTGTTCTAGAAGTTTCTACCGTGGTTGAAAATAATGAGGTTAATTAATCAGTTACACAACTCTTGTAAAAATTATGTTCTATAATATTTGCTTGCAATAAATAAATGTAGCTGCAACAGCAGTAGCGATGATAACAGCAGCAGCTGAGTTAGTAATAGTAGTAGTGGTGGTGGTAGTAGTAATAGCAGTTATGAAGCATAGATGGACCGACTGACCATTATAATTTTAGGCAAGTTGTTATTGTTACTGCTGCACAGCTGGTGCAGCGCGCAGCCAAACAGCTGAGAACTTTGCTTGCGTGAGTGAATGACGCTGTCCACGTGCTGGTCATTGAGGTCAACGCAAGGGTGAGCTTGCTGATGTTTCCTTGACCTTCTTGTTTTCTTTGCTGTCCCTGTGTATAAGTGTGTGTATGTGAGTGCATGTGCGTGTGTGTATGTACGTGCGTGTGTGTGCGTGTGTGTAAATCAAAACCAAATACTTTAAAATCACTCAGATAACAATTCTCTCTCTCTCTCTCTCTCTCTCTCTCTCTCTCTCTCAAGAGATAAGAAATAAATTACTGTAGAGAAAAATGCAATTAGGTGAATGAAAGAACAAATAAACAAACAAATACAATATAATCAGTATACACTAACATAAAAATTAGCATAACAGCTCATCAAGTCGATACATAAGCACTTAAACTTAAGTCATCTTGAAACATTCAGTCATACACAAAATGCTTTGCTATGTATGTATAAATGTATCACTAGGCGAAGAATATAACACTATAACGGATACCTTATACTGAATACAATTCAAAATTAAAAGTTATAAAAACTTAAGTATAAAGAAAAAAGCGTAGTAGTAGAAACAGCAGCAGTAGCGGCAGAAGTAATAGCAACAGTAGTAGCAGCAGCAATAGTAGTAGTAGAAGCCGTAGTAGTAGCAGTAGATGCAGCATAATGGTTCAAGTGGGTAGTTGACATGTCATGATGGTTTGATGGCATGGGATATAAATAAACTTTATATATATTTGGCCCCACTCTGTTATAATAATAATAATAATAATAATATATTCAATAAAAAAAATAATTAATTTTATTTATTTGATACAAATCGATTATTACAGTTGTTGGCTCACTTGATGAAATGATTTGTTTTATTTATTCATATAAAAGTTAATTGAGCGCAATTAAAACGTGGCCGATGTCAGTGATGAATGAATAGGTGAGTGAGTGAGTGAGTGAGTGAGTGAGTGAGTGAGTGAGTGAGTGAGTGAGTGAGTGAGTGAGTGAGTGAGTGATGATAAGGCCTAACAGCCTGAAATTAACACGCTTCTAACTCATAGAATGTGGAACCAATCTCAACTCTAAACAATTGTCTGATAGAGAAAGAGAGAGAAAGAGAATAAAGAGAGAGAAAGTACAAAAGAGAGAATGTAAAAATGGGATGAGTAAAGGAGAGAGAGAAAGAAAAATATAAATAATATTTAACCTGCTCTAACATTCCCTTTCGAACGAATGATCGAGAAATGTTCGACCTTAGTGCTGACGAGTAAGAGGTCTGATGCCAGTTGAATGCAGTACAAACTTTCGTGACCTTATAATTAATTATAATTAATTAATATATTAATTGAATCAACATCAACAACAACAACAACATCATTAACAACGACATCAACAACGACATCAACAACGACATCAACAACAACAACAACGTAATGATTAATTGGCTACAGCATGCCACACGTTACGTCTGAAATTTACGATAACAATAATGATGACATTGCTGTTGTTGTTGTTGATGTTGTTCTACTTTTTAAATGTACATTTTTTTGAAATTTAAAGAAAGCTGCTCAAAACTAATAATAATAATAATAATAATCATGATGATAATGATGATGACGACAATAATAATAACAATGGTAGTAGTGTTTTATATAGTCACTCATATGTACGGTTATTAAAGTATGTTGGATGCGTTTGCACATGTGTGTTTGTTCATGTGCGTGTGTGTATGTCTGTGTCTGTGTCTGAGTGTGTGTGTTATCTTCAAAAACTTCCAAGCAGAAACCTAAACCAGAAAAAAAAATAATAATTTACCACGAAACAATTGATGTGACATATACACTACATTTGTGTGTGTGTTTGTATGTGTGTGTGTTTGTATGTGTGTGTGTGTTTGCATCAGAGTGTGCGTGTGGTCTGTGTGCGTGCGAAACATGGTAACATGGTGTAACATCAAATCTAATGGCACGGTTGTTATCAATGCGTCAATTTATCAAATAAATTACAGTTTAAATAGCCTTGAATATATTTGTATACTACAACCGAAGTCATTATTATTACTTCTATTACTACTTGTACTGATGTGTGTGTGTATGTGTGTGTGTTTGTGTGTGTGTCGGTGTGTGACTTTTTTGTGATCTAAGGAGTGGAAAAAAGTTCGATAAGATTTTTTTCAGTTGTCTGAACAATGAACAATTTGAAGAAACTATTTGAAAAATTTTGCCTGGTGATAATTTGAGTACACATTCACACGCACACACACACACACACACATACACACACACACAAACACACAAACAAACACGTGCAAATCTTTCTTATCCACTATAAAAATATAAAGCATTAGAACGACGCAATTCTTAACGTAAAAAAGATCTAACATTAATATCAACATCGTCGTCGTCATCACCATCATCATCATCTATTACCATCATTATCATCATCATTACCATCATCATCACCATAATCACCATCGTCAGTAAAGTACCCAAACAAACAGTACCCTAACCTGTTAATGTTCTTGTATCGCCATCTACGTACTTAATACAGACATGGTATTTGCATTCATTATCGGCCTTTGAAAAATTTTAGTTCAATTAAAATTAGACAATAATAATAACAACAATAAATTAATAATGAATAATAAATAATAATAATAATAGTTAATAATTATAATAGTAATAGCAATAATATTTAAAGTAATAGTAGTAATGTTAACATTGGGAAGAAATTCCTTAGGTATCTTCTGGAAGACGTCATCTATAGAGTCATTCCGACTGACTGCGAGTTTCTTGGTCTGTAAAATTATGAAATTATACCAATTATAATAATAATAATAATATAATAATAATAAAAATAATAATAGCTGAGACAACCAAAACTACAACAAATTTTGAAATTATACTAATAATAATATAATAATAATAATAATAATAGCAGAGACAACAAAAACTACAACAAAAGCGTTTTAACCAGGTTTATATAACCATTGGTGGAAAATACATACGTACACACACGGATGTACATACATAGGTAAAAAACGCGCGCGCGCACAAACACATACATACATACACCATATACACACACACACATACATACATACATACAAACAAACAAAACATACCCTCTTGCCAGAGGTTTTGTCTTCGTAATGAAGTTTAATGATGACCACATCTTTGTTGCGATCAGTGATTTTACTTCTCTGCCTGTAACGTGAATTTGTTCATTTATTTTCGTTATAATAATAATAAATTATAAGAAATAATAATAAGAACGTAAGAACAACAAGACTTTTAATTTTATTTTTGATTGCAAACAGACCTATTTCTTTTATGATAAGCACTACAACTTGTGATGC